TACCAGAGTTGGGTGTAACCAGGGCCGCCTTAATGCACGGGCTGACCTGGGCTGAAGCCCCAGGGGCCTACGGTGATCGGGGGCCTATCATGAGCCAAATTAAAAAAAAAAAAATTCCAATTTTTTTATTTTTTTATTTCGGGTGTTTTAAAAAAAAAGTTAAATAAACAAAGTCTTGGCTTTCAGAATATGAAACTTTCATTTCCAAAATCACACGATAAATACATTTTTGAAGCTTGTAAAGGGAAGACAACAGCTCTCCCTCGCCACTCTGCTGTTCCACAGCGCCGCCCCCCTCCCTCCACTGAAATTATTAATGTAAGACGTATAGTAATCATAGATAACACAGCAAGGTCCGTTACAGTTTGTTTTCATCTGATTTCAAATAAACAAAGTCTTGGCTTTCAGAATATTAAACTTGTTTTGGCAAATTCAGATGATAAATACAACTTTTAAGCTTGTAACGGCATAATTACAAGCGGAGAACGGAGTAACTTCACGTCACAGCAGGCATAACAACAGCCGGTGTTTCTCATGAGGGTTTTCCCCGGGAAACCAACACAATACACACAAATGCAAAAATACACAAACACACACACACACACACACACACACACACACACACACACACACACACACACACACACACACACACACGTATACACACACACACATATACACACACTCGCGAGCTTCCCCCAGACCAGTAATCCAAATGAAAATATCTTCCCTCCGTGCACAAAATGTCACTCAGTGATTTGTTACCGGTTGCTCCTTTTCTTCTCCAGGGTGAACAGTGGCTGCAGTTTGCATGGCACAATAATAGAGTTCAAGAGGAATGAACTAGTATCATTTCTCCCTGACAATAGAGAGGAATAGCACACTGATAATACACCAGTAATACAAATAGTGATCTATCCACCACTGACACATGCTATCAGTACATATTCACTGCAGTAACAACGCTGTTTTGTCTTAACATCCTTCAAATGTTTTAATTATGTAATTTTAAATTAATTGCATAGTTTATAATGGCGGATCCTAGAACATAATACACAGAGATAAAGGGGATGATGATGTTGTGATTTCTTAAAATGCACTATGAAACTGCTGGTCACCCCAACCCATGTGTTTGGAGTCTAAATAGTTTAAAACGTTTTGTATGTAATCAAAGGGATGTTAATTGTTCTCATCTTATACATAACCAAGTATCATCAGTATCAAATGTACAGTATCACCACAGTTGTGAAGTTTTTACAGGATATCACTGAGAAGATATGGATACACTTCTGTTTTTGTTAAGGAACCTACGGTATCAATACAAAATAATATTCCAAAAATGTACATTGTTTGTTTTCACTGAGTTTAAACAAGCCTTCACATCTTCCTCTCTGTTTCTTCTCAATTTCAGTTTTCATGAATGCAGCTATTCCCATTGCAGCTGTCCTGACGGTGAGTTTAAATTCTGGCTCTACCTTTAATTCAAACATAATTAACCTATCCAAGATGATATATTTATGATAAGTTATTTTTATATTTGTGTCAAGTCATGAACAGAGACAATAACTAATGATCAGATTACATCTTTGCGACTTCCATCCTGTGTGAAGGACGGAGCAGAGACAGTGTCAGTGTCCTGTGACACAGCGGAGGCTCTCTGACAGCAACTCACTAAATCCTGACTGTATTTATAGAAGTCCTTCATGAATTTAGACGTGAGAGGTGACGAAATAGAAAAGTCAGACACATAGAAAGGAGAGGGATTATTATAAATGAAGGATGTACCCCTTTGATTTGATTGTATCTGACTCCTCAAACAAAGCACAACTGAAGTTTGTCTGTTTTTCCACCATTGGTTTTCACCTTGAACTGGTCTTGAGTTGCTAACAGTTCAAAGGTTTAGGGATTTTAATCCATGCTGTGGAGACCAACCTCAGCCTTTCTACCCTTCCTCTCATCCTACAGACGTTTGTGGTTCATGTTCACCTCTCAGATGACGCTGATCTGTCCCCAGCTGTGGCCTTTGCCTCCCTGTCCCTCTTTCACATCCTGGTCACCCCCCTCTTCCTGCTCTCCAGCGTGGTGCGCTCCACCGTCAAGGCCCTTGTGAGGTGAGAAGCCTTAACGGTCACCTATTATGCTATATTTGAACAATATATTATAGGGCCTTATCTATACAAATCTACAACATCTTTAGACATACGCTCTCCAGTACAGTGTTAGCTCTGAGTGTTAGCGATGCTTGCTAATGTAAACAAAGAATGTATTACTTCAAAAACACGTTGCACATTGTTTCTGATACAGCACATAGCTTGACATGTTCTTTATTCAATGTTTACCGCTAGAACAGTGCCATTATATGTATTATATACAGTATATCATTACTGAAATTGTATTTCAGAAATTATGTTTCAGTAATGACGTCAAGCCCGCAGCAAATCTCGAACAGCTCCGTTGTACCCCTGTTTTTAGAGATGTGGGTAAGGAGGAAAAGAGAGAGGGTTTTATTTTTTATGACACTTTGTGAGTCTCCTTACACAAACTGAAGACACATATTTATGTATAAAAGACATAAAAAAGTGCATTTTGCATAATAGGTGACCTTTAATATATTTTAACAGCAGAGTTCAACATCAGATTCATCTTCATGCTGATTGATTTGAGTGGATGCAGGATGAATACAATATCATAATCTGAAAAAGGAACTAGCAAACACTGATTTTCTTTTGGTCAGTTTATTGGTTAGGAAATGTCTGATAAGTGTTCTGTGGAAGGAGATGTTTACAAAAACACTCAGGAGGAGTGACAAGCACCATTATTAAATGAAAACACTCGACTCAGTTCTCCATTAGATGGATCAGATGCATTATGGGATCAGTCTTTTATTTATTTGACCGAGTGCTTTTTCACTGTTGTTTTAGTACCCTTGAATCTCTGCCTGTTTCATTTAGCAATTAGCTCACAATTAGTTTGGCAGTCAATACATATGTTGTAATTAGGCTGCTGCAGAGATGCTGATGACAAGCAAATAACTCCCCATGTGTGCTTTGCTTATTATACTGAGTAATATACTTCTTGTAAATTTATTTCTTGTACAGATCATTTTCAGCAGGACGGAGTGCAGTGAGGCACTGAAAAGTATTCAATGTACAGCAGACTTTATTTACCAAGGTTAACCTTTACAACTCCTAAAGGTTCCAAAAACGCCACAATATAAAAAGTAACATGCTCTGCTGTAGGTTCATTAGCTTCAGTATTGAAGGAGAAAACATACAAATTGTTCCCCTGAGCTACAAGACATGTTTAATCTGAAAATAATATGTTAATTTTCCATATACAGTTAGACAGGAAGATGAGACAACAATTTATTTTATTTTTAACAATGGCTGATATGTAATTACCAAACTCACTGATTTGCCTGAGGTGTTTATGTATGCCTCCTAAATGTGTAATATCCAAACTCTGTTGATTAACAAAATATTTATATGCTTTAAGGATTAAAACTTTAAAGTCTTTTAAGGTTGTCTCTTAAAGTCAATGAAGCAGAACTTTTTCCATGTACAGACAATGAGAGCGTGTCAGCTTAAATCCCATCTTCTCCATCTTTAAGTCTTGATCGCAGGGCAGGAAGTAATGACTGAGAATGAAGAAACTGACATCACACATTTTCTATAAGGGTCTTTAAGAGGCCAGCTTATACAACTGAGTTGATGTATGCTCTTTATTTTAACCAGTGTATTTTCTTCCTTTAATGTGGAAGCACCTGTGATTATTCGAGATTTCTATTTTTGAGACTGTGTGATCTGACACACTTTGTCAGACAGCAGGAACTAAAAATAACCCACAGCTTATATTCACTTCATCTTCACACTTCAACGTGAGAAGATGTGTCTTTGTAGAGGAAAAATAGATTACTTATGCACCAATTTAAATGCAAAGTCATTGTGAAACTTGACATATATTTCTTTGGATTTCATTAAAGAATCATTTATTGTTCCTGTGGACTCTAAAGGCCCGGACACACCAATCTGACAACAAAGAACTGACACAGACGGACCCCGACAGTTGCGTCGCCTCGCGTCTCTGCGTTTTGGCCATGTGTCGCACTGGAACACACTGCAAAGACTTCAGCCGACGACCAAGACGCACGTAGGAACAGCGCATGCGTGAGTGGCAATAACTCTCCTTACCAGCAGGCGGCGGTAGTGTTTATTCGTCATTCAAAAGAGGCAACAACCGGAAGACAGACTGCGTGATAACCGAGAGAAGAAGAACAGACTGCGTGATATAAAAAAACAACAAATAGCGTGTGCGTTCCATTTTCACTCTACAACGAGAAGCCCATGGGGCTTTCCCGAACCTGTGTCGAGAGCTGGAGTTCAATGAAATCTCAGATTTGCCTTCTTAATAGTTTGTTTGGGTCCCTCACTTCCGTTTCGCTTCTCATGCACTGATTCGCTAGCTGAACAGCCAATCAGAGTGATTTCTTTTGCCGACTGCCTTTGGCCGACTGCCCGCCGATTCTTTCGGCCGAAAAGGCGTCGGCCCGGCTGAAAAGACCCGACGGTGCGGGACACACCAATCTGAGTAGGGCGTGTCGACGCTCATCGTCGGCCTGACGCCCACCGACAACGATAATCGGCCTGGTGTGTCCGGGCCTTTAGACCCTAGCCACACGGAGACGGTAACGAAAACAAACCGAATTCGATATCAAAAAAGTCTTCCGTCCATACGCAATCGGCACCAGAAACCTGTCCGTTCACACGAGACCACTCATCCATGCACTCGACCCGCTGGAGACGCTGTAGTACATATGCCGGGCCTGTAAGTGGCGCTGTACTTCCGCCACAAAATACACCAAAAGCAGCGAAGAAGACTTCACGAGCATGCATGGTTGCCATGGTTGCCCTTCTGTTTATTCTCCTTGGTGGATTTAGCAGCAGAGGTGGGGAGAGGCAGGGGCCAGGGCTCTGGCTCTTTTTCTCCCTCCCCGAGGCAAGCGTGTGCTCCTGCTGTAAATCTCCCCGGTAGCCCACTAGTGGATGAAAAACACCAACCGTGCAGCAGAGTTTCCGTTATAATTTTTTTTTGCCGGTCAACATGTCCGTTAAAGTTTAAATATTCCGGACAAAATTATAAAAGTGCCGGTCAAAGGTCTTCTTTATTATTTATTGAACTGTCAAACAAATAAATAACGACTCTATATAATAATACAAGAATAATATACAGAGTCTCTCTTTTCCTCCCCCTCTCCTGACAGCCCGTCAGTATTTTCGTTATCAGGAAATGATCGTATTGGGCGTAATCACGGAGCCGTTTGGCCCCCAGAGCGTTGCGTCCGCAGATCTACCCACCTTGGGACCCGTTATCGTTATCTGCGTTTCCCTGTCGGCCTCGTGTGGCCGAACTGTCTGACTCTATATGATAGAGAACTGTAGTGGATACGACCCGTTTCTGCTCCATGTTTCAAGAGTAATTCTCATGTTTTAATGCACTTGTGATAATATGCAAAATACTGATTACTATTTCAGTGTATTTGCTTTAACAAACAGCCTAAAACCTAACCCTACTATAAACTGATTACGTTCATAATGGCAGCCCACTGCTCCTAAACACTAGGATGGGTCAAATGCAGAGAAACCATTTTGTTACATAGTAAGTAGGCCTACTGTGTAATGACAATAAAAGTAAAAAACAAAAAAAAGAAATTAAAGGAAATGAGGGCCAGTGTCAGATCCGACATTCAGCCCAAATTTAGTAATTCAATTAAGATGGTCTTGATCTGGCAAGCATTTTTTCTCATTTAGGTAGTGAAGTAGAAGAAGAGACAAGATTCAATTCAGAGATGTAGAGAGATATGTGAGTGTATCAGAGAAAGCAAAAGCTCGTTGTCATTGAAACATCTTCCTCTGAATGAGCTTTGGGACCATAAACAGCAGGGATGCTGATATCTTTACATGAACGGAAGAAAGCTCAATGAAAGACTTTGTTACCTATCTGTTGTACTAGCACCATATTTTGAACATTCTATACAAATGTGTTATACATATTAATTTAGATTGACCTCATTACTCATGTATTGTCTTTCTGTTTGATGTGCAGTGTTCAGAAGCTCAGCGAGTTTTTCTCATGCGATGAGATAGGAGAGGAACAGGAGCCTAGAGCGATGTTAACCTCTGGCTCCAGCAATCACAACCAAAACAGATACCAGGCTGTGGTGAGTACATGTGCACACACGCTTTTTATGTTGGCTTGATTTAGGCAATAAGGTAGATGTCAGTTTTCTTGTTATCTCCCCTGCTGCTGCATCCAGGCTGTCTCATTTAGCTTTGAATGTTGTTTTCTTCCTCCACATTATCGTACTTGTGATAATATCACCATTTACCTCTTTGTCCTTCGTGACTGTTGTAACGCTACCCTCCTCTAGCCATCTTCTAAACCTCTCACTTCATCCTTCTCTTCCTCGTCTTCGTCCCGACACCCCAAGCCTCTGAAGGTGGTGAACCGGAAACGCCCCCCGAGGGATGACTGGAACAACTACAGCTCCCAGGGGGACCACGAGGGAGACGGACCCTACCAGGACATGGACCAGGACATCTGCATCAAAGTGAGAGCGAGAAAAGGACAAATGCACCAGATGCTCCTGCTCAGAAAAAATATGTAATATTATTCAAGGTCTTATCAAATTTGAAATGGTGATCTGAACATTTTGCCCCTTTCTTTAAATTGTAGTCCTTTAAAATGAAACTGACTGAGTTAATGGAGGATAAACACACTTTATCTCCAGATGTTGTCACTATTTGTCAAGAATGACCTTTACTTACCTGTTTACTTGGATGAAAAGCAGTAATTATGTGTGTGGCATTCCCATTATGTTGTCCATGCTCTGGTGGTTATAAACAATCCAAAAGGAGTTATCGACTGAAATTTTAATGGTAAATTATTAAAACCAAGAGGGATCCAGGGACCTGGAGAAAAGAGAGCTTTTTAACCATTAATGTAGACACTGCAGCAACAGAAAGGCAAAGTTGTTCAGTGTATTATTACATTACTACTATATGACTATAAAAGCTTTAAAAATAACAATATTGCTTTTCTGGCATCCAGGCATAAAAACAGGAAATTAAAACCATGAATCATAATATCATAGTCATGGGTTAAAAATGAACGTTAAGTAATAAATACTTACATTACAGTAAATTACAGATGGGACACTACATGTTCAAATATATAAAAAATGTAAATGTTTGGAGTTTTTCTTGGTTAATATATTCCTTTTAACATAAAGTGTATGAACTGGGCTTAGTTTTATGTATAAAAAAAGAAAATCTCATTGTCAATATCTCAAATTCTTCTGAATGGAGACTGATTGCTCTTCAACTGAATGTTCAGTCTAAATAATTTGCCTGGCATAGTCTGTGAAGTGAAAAGCATCAGTATCTTCCTTCCCCTGCATGAAGAGAAAACAAGTACACATTTACGGTACATCTGATTACCTCACCTTGCATCACCTCGTACAGATGGCAGGTTTGACTGTTTACTTGCTAAAGAGTAAGGTAATTGTTTTACCTGTGCTTTGCTTTCCTAGATAATCAGCGGTTATTTCACCTGGACCGATGGACCGCCAACTCTTTCTAATGTGGACGTCAAGATTCCTTTTGGTGAGTCACAGTGTGATATACAATATGCCTCATCGATTCCTCTCCGAATCCTTTCTCCATGCAGTCCTTCAGTCACTCACCTGTTTACTTTGCTTCCTCTCAACCCTCTCAGGTAAGCTGACTATGATTGTTGGCCAGGTGGGCAGTGGGAAGTCGTCTCTGTTGTTGGCAGCGCTGGGCGAGATGCAGAGAGTATCAGGAGCAGTCTACTGGAACAGGTTAGTTTCCATTAGGCCTGATGCTTCAGTTAAAACTGTATAATCCCTTTTTGGATTTGAGTAATTCATGTCCTTTTTGCCTGATTGTACGCTATATAGTTCTATGCATGTTCTGGTGCCATTAACATAACAGTGTAGGGGGGGTGCATGTACTGTGAAGTCGCCGGAGCCTTGCAGCGGGGCTACTGCTGCAGGGCCAGTGTTTCCGCCAGACCGGGGCTGAGAGGGCGTCCANAAAGCTTTATTTATTGTGTCCTGCCCCAAATGCGCAGCTGGGATATAGTGTGAAAAAAATAAAGATTGGTTCCCGCAAAAGATAATGCGGGAATGTGAGTCTCACATTCCCGCATTATCTTTTGCGGGAACCAATCTTTATTTTTTTCACACTATATCCCAGCTGCGCATTTGGGGCAGGACACAATAAATAAAGCTTTGCCAGTTTGGGTCCTTATCACAACTGATCAAGATGGCCAAAATATTCTCTGCTCAAAGGGCCTTGCAAATGATTCTGGAAGAGAGAGAACCATTTGATGATGATGTAGAGGTAGAGGAAGATGTTTCAGAATGTGAGGATCACATTTCTGAGAATTCTGAGTCTGAGAGTGACTTTGAAGAAGAGGATGAGATCGAGCATCAGCTAGTTACAAAAAAAAGACGAGCCACAGGACCAGCCGGTCAGCGGGCAAAAGACCAGTAGCACTTTAATTAATTAATGTGATCTAACAAATGTAAAAGGGCAAATATTAACCATATATGCTGTTTATATTGCTTGTAATTGGGACGAAGTAAACATCTGTATTTTAACGTTAAATAGTTTGATTGTGTTGAATTGAAGCCCAAAAAGGCAGCGGGTCCACCAGACCCACGAACAAAAATATGAACACCACACAAGGGTTAAACCATTTTAAATACCTGTTAACAGAGAATGACAAAAGCCTTCCACAGAAACATAATTTATTAACTACGTATGTTTACAAGTGAAGAAATATGCAAAAAAGCACACTTCAGAAAGGTTCTGGATTCCAAATACACGACTCCAACATAGTAATTAATTGAACAATGAATTAAGAATGATCACACTCAAATATTTATGAATGCTTTTTTCATCCTCCGCATACAATGAGTCTCCCTTCTAGTTTACGACAGAGATGAGTCATGTCTCCCTGTCCTTGGCCCCTTATCAGCCACCCATCGCCTCTGGAATCACGCTGAACACATGCCAGGTCCAGAAATCCCCAGGACACGCAGAACCAGATGGTGATGGGTGTGACATTTCACACACCCTCACTTTCATCTGTCACAGGATCATTTGTGCTACTGGGGATGAGGAAGGTGATGGGCAGAACAACTGTGGGATGTGACACCTTTTTTTTTATAGTGGCTGCCTCGTAGGAATGAGCATTATGTAACCAGGGGACTCAGCATTGCAATGTGCAGCTTTGGAGCCACCAACCCCCATGCGGTGTCTGTCAGTGTGGGTTTTAAAAAGCTTCACACTAAATACAGTAACATACTTCCTAATGGCTTCCTAACTGCAATTAACTCAATGACTACTGTACTCTGCTGCAACCCTTTTGGGAAATAGTCCCGGAGGAAAATGTACCCATTATATAACAGGTTTAAGAGTCAACAGAAATGCTAGCGGCTATATTTAAGAAGAGTGGTGCTTTGAGTTGAATGTTAACAGTGCTACTCTATCATGATCATAGTGACAATACAAATGGGCTAAACATTGGCAGATATAATGTTGCATCATCTTAGTTTAGCATGTTAGCATACTGACATTTCTGGATTAAAACAAAACATAAAGTACAGAAATATTTTTGTAAAAACTGTTATTGATAGTGCCAAAAAGTCAATGCCAAACTGTCACGTAGATTTTTTGGGGAATTATTTGGCCTTTATAGATATCAGTGGCTCACCCAAGCCATTACAGTTCATCCTGAGGGGAACAAGAATATCTTTACCAAACATCGTGTTAATCCAATTTATAGCTAAAGCAAAAATCATTTAAAAACCCTTTATGTCCAATTTCTTCTCCAGCAACTTCCAATGTAATGATCATTAAAGTCTGACAGACTTTTGAAATTGGAAAACTAAATGAATATGAGCAAAAGTAGTTTTTCTTCTACACACCACATGAGCTAAATAAGCCGGCAGCTCACGTCTACTGAGCCTTTGATACATAAAAGGCCTTTTTCACAACAGACATATTGGCTTGTCGTGGCAGGAAAAGCAAAAATGTAACAGATAACATAAAGAACAGCAGCATTTGGTGAGCATGTTCCCGGATCCTGGTAGTAGGCATGCTGGTTCAATGGCAAGGATCACTGAGACACTGAGACATGAAATGTGTTTACCTGTGCTTCTGCTATGAGATGAGTCCAAATATCTGCTGTGCAAAAACTGAAAAAAGGTATTTACTGACTTGACTGATAAAGAACAGTTGCTTTTATAGATTAAAATCAGCAAGTCACATAAATGACAATAGCACCCGCTAATGGTATGATATTCCTTTTTCCCTGAGGCCGTTAGAAATTAAACTGAACAAAAATGAACAAAGGCTGAATACTATTTAGCTGTTTCAGTTTCCTGGTATTAAAAATCAATAGAATTGCCAACACATCTCAGATCAATTGCACACTACAAAAGCCCATCAAGGCAGAAGGCAGTAAGAATTGAGCACAATGGATTTATACACAGTTTGGGGCAGACAGGCAGGTACAGATGGAGAATACTAATGCAGCTCAATGTTATACAGCTACTGAGGGGAGTAACACAGTCGGTTTATAACCTAATGTGGGTGTCTGTTTATTGATGAATTAAACATTCTCATATTTCTGCTGACAGTTTAAGTTGCAAAGATGAGAAAGTACCATAAAAGTGCTTATCATTTAGACATTAACATTGACAGCCAATGGGATATTATTGTTTTTGAAATACCTCAAATGACACAGATTGCCTTAAGAAACCATAGCTAACGACAAATGTGTCAAATTGGATGTTTTCATAGTAGTTCTACTATGTCTTCATAAATCATTGAAATGGAGAAATTGAGAATTTAAATGTCCATAAGTAATGATGACAGTAGGAAAAATGAATCTGCATATGTGTTGACTTACTTATTCTTTAACAAATATTATGCAAGTTGTGTTTTGGGCCCAAGGATTATTCCTTGTATATTTTTGTTTTTGACATCTTTTTGACATTTTGAAACGATAAACCGTTTTAAGGTTCTTTGTGAGAGGGAGAACCAAGTCTCTGCAGACTCAGTGCTTCGTTCTATAAGGAGATAAGAGTATACTTATCTCCAAACCCAGCATGTGCTGCCAACATAAACCAGAAGAAATGTCAGAAGAAACAGAAGAGCCTCAGTGTTATAATACGTCAATACGAAAACAGAGAACATTCAATCGTGAAATACTTTTTCATTTTGCAGCACACAAAACCACCGTACGAGTGCTAAAGAAATAACTGACTGTTTTTTCAATGTCAATGTTCTTTGAAAACTTGCTGTCAATATTCAAGTCATCTTTTTCACTTTTCAAACACAGCTTTTGTTGTATTTCTGAGTTGTGAAAGCTATTTGCTGCTTGACCAGAGCTTTGATTGCTATGCACTTGACCGGCATTGCACTTACTTAATTTATACATGAACAATATGCATACAGTCATACAGGGGATATGGATTAAATTAACTTAAAATCCTCTTTTACCTACACCTTGCGCCAAATGCTAATCCTTCCACACACTTTCAGCCACAGAAACTATTCAAATATTTAAATGTTCAGCTCCTTCAGGACATGTGTGCTATGATTTTTCTTGTTTACGACATTTATACTTTTTGAAATATTCAGCTTTTTAAACTCTTTTTTTAACATGTAACTCAATGGGAGGAACCTTCAAATCGTCTTTTACCTACACCTTGCGCCAAATGTTACTCCTTCCACATACTTTCAGCTAGAGACTTCATTCCAACTTTAAAATGATCACAAGACCTCCATCTATAAAACAAATTATCAGATTTTTGATATCTTTTACACTTTTTGAGATATTTAACTTAGTTTGGAGCTTGGTAAAGAGGCCTTCTTCAGATTTTAACATTAGTGTGTATTGAGCAGCTCGTTAAGGCTAGAGTGCTTGATGTAACAGCTATGTGGGGGAGAGCTTGAAATTCGCCTTCATATATTGTTTTAAACCTGCCATAATTCCCAAACCCTACACTCCTGAGACATAATTTTTCATGAAAAACGTAGGAAAACCTCTCCTAGGTTGAAAAAAAAAAGATTAAGAAAAAATATTAAACACAATGCCTCTTGAGGGCATGAAAAGACAAAAACTTGTCAAAAAGTCCACCTAGCTCCCAATAGACTCCCATGTAAAACACATCTGGATCTTTCTTCAGACTAGAGAGAAGTAAACTTTAAAAAAAACTGCTCCCATCTCCACAATGTACACGCAAAACCTAAAAAAAAAACATATATCAGTTCATTGGGGTTCCCTGATGCTCACGGTCTGGTCATTTTTTTATAGGAGCCATAGTTATTTGAACAGGTGGCAAAATTGTCAGATATAATCCTCAATGCATTCTGAATGGGACTCAGTGCTGCAGTTGGTAACCATGGTGTTGCTGGGCAGATTGGGGCCACAAACCTGAGTGACATCATCTAATCAGAGCAGACACGCTCACAGACAGACTGGTACACGCACACACAAACAATGGAGGTTTGTATTTTTTTCAACAAAAGTTAGAAATGCAAGAGGTTTATCTCTCATTCAGAACAAATGGAAAGGCTCTCCTTTCACAGCACATCTCCATGGAAACTTTTGACCTCTGGGCTCACTTAAACAGGTGTTTGATAACGTCATCACCACGGTAACCTTTGATCTCTAGGCTTACACACACAGGTGTTTGTAAAGATTCATTCACTACTACTTACATTTAATATCTAACTCCTTGAGCCTACTTTCAGCTGCAGAAACCATCCAACTATTAACTTATTCAGCTATTTCAGGACATTGAGGCTATACATGTTGTTGTTTACACCTTTTTTAAATCTTTTCTTTTAAATCTTAAGCTTCTTCACTATTTTTCCTACTCTTCCAGTTTAACATTTCATTTCCAAGTCTTCAACAAAGTCATTGCAATGCCTTTGAGCTGTAACAATTTTGATTCAAATCATTTCACCTTTCTGCATTTCTCCGCTAAGTTCAGAAACACACTTACTTGGTTTTTGTAGCTAAAAGCAGCTACAGAGACCATTCAACTAATAAAATATTCAGCTTTTTCTGCATTTTCAGCTAAATTCAGCCACAAAACTAGGGACAACAGGGTGGGTGGAGGGGGTCTGGAGGACGGGTTTGGGCTGACAGCCCAGGGGCACAGCAGAGGACCCGGAAGGAGTCTCGGGCGGACGGCCCGGGGGCAAGGCAGAGATCAAGAATGGGGTCTTGGGCGGACGGCCCGGGGGCAAGGCAGAGTTCAAAAAGGGGAACTCGGGCGGACGGCCCGGGGGCAAGGCAGAGTCCAAGGTGGGGGACTCAGGCGGACGGCCCGGGGGCAAGGCAGAGTCCAAGGTGGGGCGAAGGTCACAGCGGGCGAACTCAGGGGGCCGAGCATGAGGGCGAAGGCAGTGGCAGGAAGAGTCAGGGGGCCGGGCCCGAGGGCGAGGACTGCGGCAGGAAGAGTCAGGGGGCCGGGCCCGAGGGCGAAGACCGCGGCACTCAGGGGGCCGGGCTCGAGGGCGAAGACCGCGGCTCTCAGGGGGCCGGGCTCGAGGGCGAAGACCAGACAGCTCCGGAGGCCGGGCAGGACCCGGTGTCGGCTGAACAGGAACCGGAGCCGGTCTGACAGGCTTCGGCAGGATCCCCCACAGGAAGAGGACCAGGAGTTGGCAGGACCCCCGGCAAGACAGGTGATGGCGGGTCCTCCAACGGAACAGGACAAGGGGTTGGCAGGACCCTTGGCAGAAGAGTTGACGGCGGGACCCCCAGAGGAACAGGACATAGGATTGGCAGGACCCCCGGCAGGAGAGTAGTCGGCGGGACCCCCAACGGGACAGGACATGGAGTTGGCAGGACCCCCAGCGGAACCTCCAACGGCACAGGACATAGGGTTGGCAGGACCCCCGGCAGAAGAGTAGTCGGCGGGACCCCCAACGGGACAGTACATAGGGTTAGCAGGACCCCCGGCAGGAGAGTAGTCGGCGGGACCCCCAACGGGACAGGACATGGGATTGGCAGGACCCCCGGCAGGAGAGCAGTCGGCGGGACCTCCAACGGGACAGGACATGGAGCTGGCAGGACCCCCAGCGGAACCTCCATCGGCACAGGACCCAGGGTTGGCAGGACCCCCGGTAGAA